CTCAGTGCGCCAGTTTTTGGCAAAAAACCCCCAGCATGCCTCTCTTGCTCCACACACCTGACTCACCTGACCTCACTCCATGCAACATATTTTTGTTTCCACAAATGAAGAGGGACACAAAAGAACAGTGATTTTAGGACATAGAAATGGTGAAGAAAAACAGGAGGGAGGTGCTGTCAGCCATCCAAACAGGTGAGTTTCAAAAATGTTCTAAGAATGGAATCGCAGATTTGACAAATGTATTAAATATAATCAAGAGTACTTTGAAGGTGATAAGGTTGTTTGGTATAAAAATTTTAAATACATAGCTTTGAAAAAAAGTTTCTGTTTTTGGGGGGTAACCCCTTGTATGAAGTATGCATGTAGAAAAATTGGAAGTTGTAAAAAATGAAATGGAACACATAAGATTAATATTCTAGGCATCAGTGAGCTAAAATAAACTAGTATTGGTCATTTTGAATCAGAAAATCATATGGCTTATTATGCCAGAATGACAGCATCAAGAGAAATGGTGTCACACTTATCATCAAATGGACATTTTTTTCCTTTTTAAAATCATCTTATTGGGGGCTCGTACAACTCTCATCACAATCCATACATGCATCCATTGTGTCAAGCACATTTGTACATTTGCTGCCATCTTCATTCTCAAAACATTTTTTCTACTTGAGCCCTTGGTATCCACTCCCCATCAAAGAGGACATTTCAAGATGCTGTCTGTGATAGGATGATGTTCATCCACATACAAGGCTGTCTACTCAATACAACTATTACTCAAATTCATGCATAAGCCACTAAAGCTATTGATACAGAAATTGAAGAATCCTACCGACATTTTCAGTGTGAAATTGATCAAATGTAATCAAGACATACTGATAAATTTTTGACCACTGGAATGCAAAAATTGGAAACAAAGGCAGCAAATGAACTGGAAAAGCTAAATTAACTTTGAAAATCCGGAATAAAATCACTAACTAATTTCAAACATGTTTTTTATATGCATAGTAATCCTGCCATTAGTGAAATGACAAAGATCAATTAAACAGTTGTAGACCCATAGGTTGTTCTCGTTGTTAGATGTTGCCTATTTGTTACACAGCAACCCTGTGCACATCCGAACAAAACACTGCCCAGTCCTGTGCCATCCTGACAATCATTGCTTTGTTTGACACCAGGGTTGCAGCCACTGTGTCAATTTCCTTGAGGGTCTTCCAATTTCTCACTGACTTTCTACTTTCCCAAGAATGAGGTCCTTCCCCAGAGAATATTCCTTCTGGATCGCACGTCCAAAGTACCGGAGATGAACCGCACCATCCTCATTTCCAAGGAGCGCTCTGATTGTCTTCCTCCAAGACAGATGTGTTTGTTCTTTTGCCAGTCCATGGTATATCCAATATCCTTCTCCAGCACCATCATGCAAATGCATCGATTCTTCTTTCCTATTCATTGTCCATTCTTCTCACATAGGGGCAATTAAAAACACCATGACATAACTGATTTTTAACAGTTTTGCAGCTGATATTCCCATGTAATATGTCCTTGAATTTCTTCTTTTATTAAAAAAAAATTTTATTGGGGGCTCGTACAACACCTATCACAATCCATCTATCCATTGTGTCAAGCACATTTGTTGTCATCATCATTTTCAAAATTCTTTCTACTTGAGCCCTTGGTATCAGCTTCTCATTTTTTCCCCTCCCTCCCTCCCCCTCCCTCTGCCATAAACCCTTAATAATTTATAGGTTTTTATTATTATTTTATGTCTTACACTAACTGATGTCCTCCTTCACCCACTTTTCTGTTTCCATTCCCCTGGGAGGGGGTTATATGTAGATCATTGTGATTGGTTCCTGTCCTTGAATTTCTTGACTGTCATTTCATGGGCATTGATTGTTGATCAATGTAATTAGGCCATTGCTTCACTTCTGCTCTTTAAAAGTGCAGTCTACAGGCCTGTCTGGATAGGACAGGCTGGATGAACAATCTGGAGGAGAAAACAACGGGACTGACAGTTCCGGGGGGACA